ATAATAATAATAATAATAATAATAATAATATAGCTATTCGTTATGCGCGCAAAATATTGTGCGTACCCAGTCCTTGCTTTCTTCTTCCGCCCTCCAAAGCTTTATTATAATACGTAAACAATTAGCGTATACTGTAACCTAACCTGGACACTGAGGGCAGCAACATCCACCGACATCGTCGCATGGGCGTGTGGTTGCATCCGAGTAAAGAGGGACCATCCAGGTCAGTAACCCAATTTGGCGACAGCCTAAAACGCTCCCGGGAGTCTCTGTCCGTGCTGCTCATCCAGCTGTCCGGAGCTACGCCGTATCCAGACAGGCTTTTCCTCCAAAGAAACGTGACATTTCGAGCACCGAGCTGTCAGTCTGTGGGCTGACTTTGCATCCAAATACACCGGGGCGCAGTCCACATACGTGGGAACAAGTGCTTCTGCTGTCACCGATCTACAAAACATGGGGATGGATGGAGCGCGCGGGCTGTCTGCGCACCTACGCCCCGTCACGTGTGCGCAGATCTGGGCACAGCTCACCGTGCAGGGCGGAGAGGAGGATGGTTCAGTCTGTTGGAACGAGGCTAGACTGTGCTGGTGGTGAGGCGGTGCTGCTGCATTGTGGGTAGTGTAGTTTGTGAGGATCTCCTGCTGACCTACATCATTGTGGCAGCTCATGTAACGAAATAATGACCAATGTAAGAATCATAAGACAAAGGACATGTGATCGTTTATGTGTAGGTGACTAGACTTCATTGCCATAGCGTCATACAATTATGAATCATGCTTAATTTAGGCCCACCTGGAAAATATAGCTTCTTGCTGCCCCCTTATATGGTCAGGGGTCAGAGGTCAACAGCACAGCATCAGCTTTGTCACTCTGACTAGCTGAAGATCAGTAAATCTAAGATCCTTCTTATGTTAAATAATTACAGTGTTAGGAGCTTTCAGGACTAGAATTAGAACATATCTACAGAAATGCCATTTTTATGCAAGGAGAGGATAACATGAGGGAAACTATTGTCAGATTTTTTCTTGACTTTGCATGAGATTGTGCTTCCTGAGAACAGGACATTACATGATATGGATGAGGTTCTTGTGCACACTGACACAAGATGTTGTTGGATCACAGTGTGTATAAAACAACATGTTTATTGAGACAAAGGATACCAGAATAATTACTGTTGTTTTATCTGAACAAAACAATAATGTGTCAGAATTCCATTACATTCCACAATACAATCAACATACAGTGTAATATTCATGCCCATCAATTTTTAAGCTATACTGACCCCTGGTGTATGATGAGTGAAACACAAAGTATTCAGTGGTGGTTCAGTGCCCTGTGCATTTTCACATAGTGGTATCATTGGAGTCATACTTAGTAGTGCAGAAAGTATTCAGATCCTTTACTTAAGTAAAAGTATTGGTAATTTGTTACCAGTGAAAAGGTGCATTGAAAATGTTACTTTAGTAAAAGCATGTAAGTACAATCAGGAAAATGTATTAGAATATTACAAGGAAAGTACCCAGTTACAAAAACAATCAAACCAATTTAATAAATCAAATAATTAAAAGAAATAGCATAAAGTCCTCATATTTAAAAACACATACAGGTGTAGATCTAAGGGGGGGCAGTTGGACACGCCCCCTTCAACATTTAAACAAAGCCTACGCCCTTGTTTGAGAAGCTGGAACCGTGAAGTGTTTTTACATAAAACTAAGTTGAACAATTATCAAAATAGTTGCCAGTTAGCTTTATAATCAGCCGAATAATTATTTTAGCTGGACTTGTATATTTTCATATGGTTTGTGTGATAAAATATTAATTTGTAAAGTAGTAACTAAACTTATCAAATAATTGTAGTGGAGTAAAAAGTGCAATATTTCCCTCTGAACTGTAATGGAGTAGAAGCATAAAGAGAGTAAAATCACTCCATGTTAGGATTAGAATTAGGAAGGTCACAGGAAGGGTTTGATTTAATGACAATGTCAAGTTTTTTTCTGTCAAGTTTGTCTTTTATTTTCCAACAACCACGGAGCCTTTTATGAGTTTGTATGTTCCTATGTGTGTGTGACAGATATACTATATATACACTTTTAAGCCCAATTTGTATATGTTCCAATGTGGTATAGAGTTAGCAGAAATGGTGATAGTTACTGTGGCCATCTTGTGGTTGAACTAGATTAGCTGGAGACCAGCTGACTCTCTTTGAACTTATCAAACCTTTCTGTAGAAAATGCTCTGGCCCAGAATCTACTGTAATCCTGCCTCTGATAGTGAGTGATAGTAACAGAGATGTCACATTAAGTATATTTATCAGAGTTTTAGTATTTATTACCAGCATTTATTAAAGTCCAGATAAAATGCATTTGTGTGGGTAATTTAGAATTTTCAGTTGAGCTGCATGTTTTTATAATGTGGGAGGGAACTGGAGCATCCGGGAAAAACCCAACATCAGTTTGGGGAGAGCGTGCAAACTCCACACAGAGAGGACCGAGGCTGTAAACCAAATCCTCCACCTTCTTCCTGTGAGGACACCAAGCCGCTGTCCTCCCATGACTATTAAAAAGGATGTGCTTGGTTAACCATGTCAGCCCAGTACACAGTCAACAAAGTAGAGCTGAAACATGAGTTTCAGCTCTACTTTGTTGACGATCACATCACATTTCAGCTCTATGTCTCTCTGACAGTTTAATAGCTGCTGTTTTAGTTTGTGCTAACTGGGCAGATTATGAACAGACCATTGGCCAGGAGTAGAGTGACTCCAGAGATGGTCCTTTAGCTCTGCATCTGTGTAACTGCACCAACAAAAGTTATTCTAAGATAAGCAAGGATGGCAGCTGTCCATAAATGTGGCCCAGAACACATTAGTGTACACACTGCTGACAGGATGTGCTGATGCTCAGACCACCTCCACATGTAGTTTGAGTGATCTGATCTCAAGACACATTTGCTGCATTCACACCTGTACTTAGAGCTGACCACTTATGATCCAATCAGCCAGGACACATCTTAATACCAGGTGTAACCAGGGTCTTAGACTCACTCATTTGTTATTTACTGGAGATAAAATGTGACCACTTTGTCCAGAGTCTCTGATATGAGCAGGGTCAGATCCAAATCACTACACCTCAGCTCTCCCAGTTCATCTGATAAAACCTGACAGGATAAAAAACTATTGGGTCGTAGAACCAGGCAACACACACTTCTCATTGTGATGGGACTGTGAAAAAAATCTACATGTTAAACATCTGATGACACTGTTAACAGTTGGCTATAGGTGCTGTGCACACAAACCATCTTTGAATTCAATATGTAATCTCTATGCACTCAGACAGATCTTGAATAAATCTGTGAATTTCAAGAGTATAGGTTTGAAATACAAGTGCTGTAAATTGTTGCCTTTAAGTGAACAATTATCCATCCATCCATATTCATCTGCTTATCTGGGGCCAGGTCGCAGGGGCAGCAGACCAAGCAAAGCACCCCAGACGTCCCTCTCCCCAGCAACACTTTCCAGCTCCTCCTGGGGGACCCCAAGGTGTTCCCTGGCCAGATGAGACAAGTAATCCCTCCAGCGTGTTCTGGGTCTGCCCCGGGACCAATTAACTGTCAGAAATTTTAATCACTTACCCTGTTATCCATATTGAGCAATGATTTATCTATGATAACAAACTCAGGTGTGTTCACTATCAAACGTTCACTGTCATAGTTTACCCTGTGTAAGTCTGTGCAGATCTGTTCACTGTGCTTCTGATGAGGTATAAGCTAATATGCATCACCCCAACATTTTCTTACTTTCAGATGATATGTTTGGATTTATTTATTTGTTTATTTTCAATTTTATTCAGTATTTTATTGTGTAAAGCAGTTTTGCACTTCTGGTTAGATAATCTGCATTGTCTCACTACTGGGGTTGGGCAATATATCAATATTATAACAATATTTTGATATGAGAAAAGATTTAGTTTTAGATTTCAAATATTACAATTTCATAGTTGTCTTTTCCTGGTTTTAAAGGATATATTACAATAGTGATTTGTTTTGCTGATGTAGCTGACTGCTATAGCTGTTAGTTGTCTTTGCCACCTTTGTAATTATATCCACATTACTGATGATTATTCATCATAAATCTCATTGCGTAAATGTTTTATGAAAGCACAGTCAACCCTACAATTCGTAACAATATTAATATCAAAGTATTTGGTAAAAAATATATCAAGATATTTAATTTTCTTCATATTGCCCAGTCTTGCACAATACTTGTACGCTATGCAGTGACATTAAAGTTGAAGTTAATATACATTTATTGACACTGACAGTGATATTTACATGTTTGAAAAGTGTATATTTAACCTTAAACTGTAAAATATATGATTTACAGGTACTGTGGCTGTATGGTGTTACGGGTTGTTGCACAGGGGTTGTTCCTGACGCTGTGTGACTGAAACACTAGCATAGATAGATAGATAGATAGATAGATAGATAGATAGATGCAATGTTAGACCTACAATGTCCAAGGTCTATGTACAAGGCTGACTTGCGTGTACATGTATACATATATATGTGCAGTTTCACCTCATTCTGTGTATATATAATGTTTATGTTTACTTGTGTTTCTTTTTCTGTGTAAGTTGCCTACATTAAGAGCAATGAAAAAACGGAGTCAGATTACTTGTATGTGTACACATGGTACTGATATTGCTTTACAACCACAAGGTTGTGCTATTGACTAATTTGTGTGTGCTGCATAATTGAAATTTGACCATGCAGCCTGGTTAATATAGAGAATGCTTCCCTAATGTTATCCTCACATGTGTTTACAGTCAGATGTTGTTTCCCATTGATATTCACAGACATTTCACCAGATGTTCATGATAACTGTGTGTGTGTGTGTTCACAGTCTCAGTGGTAGTAGCGTGCTGCCCCCTGTGTGTTACTATCAGTAGGCTGCGCCAGCCGGAGCTGCGCACGCGCAGTGAGTGTGCGGGCGGGCGCAGCTTCGCCGTGGTTTCGGTTGAGCATTTGGCAACGTCTCGCTCGGCAAACAGGCAGTTCTCCGTCGGCAACGAGTGTTTTCCACAATGTCTGGAGGTTTATTTTAACGGAGTAGGAGCCGGGCAGGAACACCGGAGCAACGTTAGGTAAGGTGTGTGCTTTTTCTGGCTTTCTCTGAACAGTTTTAGTTGAACTGTGCGGGCTGAAAAGTGACGAGCGAACTAAACGTTAGCGAGCAGGGCAAACACCGAAAGGCAGCCGAGCCGACCAACTTCAGTCAATGCAGAGGACAGGCTCCTTACTACGGCTCAGCTGTGTGGCTGAGCGCCACTTGAAACCCTCCACACCGCCTCAACGCTTCACTCCCACCTCCGGCCATTCACCAGGCTGGATAAGAAGCCTCAAATATGCCGCTACCCGCAACAATTCATTAACTACTAAATATTCTACAACCTTCCTGATCATTAAGGCTCCAGTGCGCATGCTCGCGGTGCTGTGCAGAGTTCGGATTTGTAGTTTTTTCGTACCTGAGTTAATCACAGTTGTGAGGGCCAAGAGAAAACGGCAAGACTACAAGTTCCAGACAATGGGAGCTTTGTTTGGGAGCGGAGCTAGCCAGCTAGTTAGCCTGGACGAGCTTTGAATTTCGAGTAGTTGTGCTGCAAATCGGAAGTTGCCTTGGCTGGAGATTTGTTGCAGAGTGAGCTGCATGGGGAGTATTTTGGCTGGGTGGTTACAAACACGTATTGTTTGAAAGGAGTAGTTGTGAATGCAGCTGGTTTGCTGTGTGCATCATGTTTTAAATGTGTTAATAAAAGGGAATTGATCGTTATCCTGTGTGGTTGGACATGCAGACTCTCTTCAGTTGTCAGAAGACGTGTGCACAGTGCGCAGGATTTGCAAGTGCATAGTAGAGATTTGTGTGTGTGTGCATGTGCGGTCGAGTGTGTACATTGAATGGGGAGGTGATGATGTCTCGGCGTGTCGTCTCCTTTTCATGGAGATCCCCCGTGTTGCTGCTGTATTCCCCAGCCCTCAGGAAATGACACGTCGAGTATCAGCATGATGGATCTGCCGTGCAAGAGCAGCAGAGCATGGCAACACTGCACATATTCTGGGCATCATTTGCTCAGGTTGCCTCCCATTTGGAACTAATGGAATAATTATTACCGGGGAAAATCTGAGAACGATGCTCAAGTGTCTCACCCTGGTTATCCCTGCTGCTTACCCGCCTGTAACAGCAGCAAGTGGTGAGCTCAGCACTGCCCACTGTTTGCTGCACACTGGGGAAATCCAACATGTCATCCACTGTTTGAGAGGAGATCTGATTTGAATACAGTTCTGAGCTGTGAAGTTTACGCTGCATAATAATGACATGGTTCTCCATATTGTAAATCCAGTTTCCTTGGATCAAAGGCTGTGCACCAGACTGCAGAAGTCAGTCACACAATGCTGTCTGTTCATAGTTTCCAGGAAGACATTTCCATCCTTTAAACGGCTGTTTGAAAATGCTCCATATCAAATCAAAACTGAGTAGACTTGCTATTTATGGCTTATCAGTCTGTGCAACTCCAGTGCTGTATGTTGTAGCTGAAAAATTCAAAGACTGCTCTGGAGACCTTAGACTTTAAAACAGTCGACATCCACAAGGCCGTCTTACTGCTCATAACCGTCACTGCTGTATCTCACTTTTTATGTTCCTGTCAGGCCTTCTTTCAAAACTCTACCTGTCTGACAAAGCAAAAAACAGTAGCAGTACACATGTAGTTCAGTGTGATTTATTACACCAGCGAGTGCAGCAGCATATCCCTGCAAGCTGCTTTCGTTGGATGCATAGGAAACAACAGGAGCTTCCACGAGATACAGCAAACCTGCAGAAAGAAGCAGGAAGTCCAGACGGAGAATCATTTGATCATATTATCTCAATTAAATAGTGTAACTCCGTAAATCCACCATTGTGTCGGTCTATATACCGTTGGGTGTGATGCTGCTACGGTTGTGGTGTAATAGGTGTTTTTCAAGGGGCCAGTAACAGCGCTTCTAAAATTACAACATAAAATTTGACACTGACGCATTCTTGGCATTCTTCTTTGAATATCCAATTCTGAAAGTTTTGGCACATACACTGCATAAAAATTCTAGGATTTGACATTTAAAGATTTGCATTTCTGCTGTGTAGCATGCTCAAGCAACAAACCATGTGTCAAATGCCATATCGTTCTCCGGGTTGTACCGTTTGGGTCATGCAACTCAATTAAGGTCAATGCAAGACATCTTTAAAATCACAATCCTAAACCCCTTGCTACTGAGATGAGAATAGCAAAATCTAAGGTATTCACAGTGTATGATGAATTTTTAGTTTTGGATTTGGTTGGAAAAATGTGCCACTCTGAAGCTATAAATATGAAGTCTTCTTCAGATCCAATTTCTCTAATGAAACTTGACCTTTCCAGTAAATATGGTTTGTACCTTTAGATTTTGTGTAGAATATGTTTTGCTGCCAATAGTACATCATTTAGAGGAGTCCTGCCAGGTCCGTAATGTCCGTATAACCATGTTCGTTTTACCATTTTTACAACAAGATCACATTATCCATGCTAATCTACGCTAGTTTCATAACTTTGGGCCGATGTCACATAGTCGTAAAAGTACCCCCAGCAGTCAGCTTGTAGTTGGCTCCACTGGGTACCAGATAACACTTGCTTACAGTGTGTGATCTCCAGGAACATCTCATATTTTGTGCTACTTGTTTCGGTGTTTCATTGCAGACAGCTGCAGGAACAAAGGATCCTGTCTTCAAAGGCAGCTGAATGTGGGCCACCTGAGTTATTTCGCCTGTAAACATTACGTTGAATCACCATGTCGTATCTTGATAGAGGTGACTCATCAGTTGTTTGATTTTTCTCCCTGTTCTTTTCATTCTTGACAAGGATTTTTAAAGAACTCACACACAGGTCATCTGTTGGATGAATAATACATTTCCAAGAGTCTTTTGTGAGGTTTTTAAGGCAGCAAAGATTTTGTTTTTGGCACCAGCTCTGCGTAAAGTTCTCCCTTCCTAACCACGACACCTTGGCAGCCCTCCTGCTGTTTGTAATTTTAGAACGAAAAGCTTCTTGCCAGGTTTCTATTTAATCCTCGGAGGCGTCCTACTCTTAGTTAAAGACGGTTTAATAGAAATGAACAATTGTGTGTTCTTACAGTGTGCAGAGGTACACACACAAGCACCTCATATAACATCCATCACAATCATTGGGAGTGTCCTGATAGGTCACAGGGAGGCAGGACAATACCTCAGGCTGAAGGTCCCATCTGGTCTGTGTCAGAGTGCACAGTGACGGCTGAATGTGTGTGTGTGTGTGTGTGTGTGTGTGTGTGTGTGTGTGTGTGTGTGTGTGTGTGTGTGTGTGTTTTTCTTTCCAGGAGCCTATACATGTAATAAACTTGAGCTTATAGATTTCAGTCATAGAGGCATATTTCAAACCGCTCTCTCTCTGTTTATTGCAGTCTCATGCTGCTGGGTTATACTCCTTTTAAATTAACACCGTGACGCAGGTTCAACTCGTGTCAGTGGTTAATCTGAGTGGGTCACTGCACGTCATCACACCTGGCTTCACAGCCTCCTCCCAACTGGGGTCGAATGCAGTTTGGAGAGTAATTGAGTGTGGTGAACAGGTGTTTCTATTTGGCTTAGCAATTTATTTTAATTTTATAGTTTTTGGATCATTTAATTAATAATGAATACTTGAGATGTGCCAATGCCATTTTTTCCTTCCTGATACCAATTCGTATACCTGAACTTGAGTATCAGCCGATATGGAATAACAATCCAATATCACTGCGTTAAAAAAACAGCTGTATACTACTAAGGCTGTATGGATGTGAAATTATTGCTATCGCTGTTGTATGGTATGTGTCAGGTTAAACCCTTTGTAAAACATGAACAAATACATACAGAGAATGAATTCCATGGAACTTTTTTATTATCTAATTTGACTCAGTCACAAGACATTAATAGCAGGATTTTCCAGTGTAAAATATTGCCACATTACGGAAATTTTTCGTATAACTGACGTCACATAATTTACTGGAAATAAAAGTTTCTTCCCTGCTCTAAAACAGAAGTTACCAGCGACTGCACAGCACAACTTGCTGCGTAGGCTGCCGTTTTAGAGCAGGGAAGAAGAACTGACTTCTGGGAAAACTGCTATTTTATCAGAGTGTGAAACTATTTTAATGTCTACTAATAAATTACATGGTATCGGATTGGTCATCAGCTCGCTTATTGATACCCGATCCAACATTTCAGAGGCTTTTCAGATATTGGTATCAGTTACAGAACAACTCTTTTAATACATTTATAACAAGCAGATAAAACACCCACAGGAGGTGAACAAACCCTTTTTATACCGGCAACAAGATCTCATAAGTCAAAGAAGTCACTGTGACACAGTAATCAAACTCAATTAGTTCATACAGTTACATCTTGGATGCAAACACAGAATGATCATGGACTAAAAACAGCATATAGGCAAAGCAAGGCAAGTTTTTATAGTGCCTTAGATGGAATTCAAAGTGGTTTATGTATGGTAAAGGAATGCATAACATTTGAAATGGGGCAAAAAAGAAAACAAAAACCAATTAAACCAACATTATATAAGTCATATATTAAATTACAGATTGACAGAAAGTAAAGGACTAGAAAGACAGTTACAAACGTTAAAACCTCCAGGCACTCTATACAAACATCCAAAGTGAGTTTTTTGTGATATTTAACCAGCGTTTTATCCACAAGAAAGAGACGGAGAGACAGCAGCACAGGAACCAAGAGAGCACACTGTGTGGGCGAGATCCAGCGTGGATGTGGAGAGAAACTGAAAATGAAATTTTATTTGATAATTATGTAATGTAGTGGAGTTCTATGTAATTCTGTGGTTTAGCTGTTACAAGTATGGCACTACAGTGGAAGACTGTGAACTGTGTGTGAACAGGAATGGCCTCAAAACTCAATCACATGTCTGCACACCTGAATATGTAAGAGGTATGTCAGAGGGCAGAACAACCGAACTGTCGTGCTTACTCCTGGTATATATGTATTTTTACAACGATTAACTGCAAACAGCACCTGTGAATGTATGTTGAGTAGAGCTG